GAGAGGGTGACGGTCTTGGTCTGGGTAGCGGTGGAAGTGATGGTGGTAGTGCTGTCTGTCTGGGCAAGAGCCAGCGCAGGCAGGAGGGCGGCGAGGATCGTGGTAACCTTCATGGTGAACGTATCTGGTGTTAAGAGTGGTTGAATCGTAGTGTATGCTGTCAAAGCTGGTGTTGGTAGGGTTATGCGTTGGTGAACGAACGAGTCCCGAGTCTCTCCACCAATATGCGAATGATGCTGTTGATCAAATCTGTCTAGTATTTTCTGTTTCTGTAAATCCTGCTGGTTGCTATCGTGGAGACGGCGACCAGGTGATGATATATGTGCGTTGGCGCAAAAGAGTTGTTTTCAAGGCCCCAAGGTCTGATGAGTGGTGTTGGCTGAAGTTTTGAGTCTGAGCGATGTGGCTCGTGTAAGGTGCCGCTGGGGTGTTTGCGAGGAGACAGAGTCTATTCGCGGATAGAAATAGGCAGGAATGAGCGTCAGTCTGAATACTTGCGCGGCGAGTAGTCAGGTTTGGTCGGAGGAGTGAGTGTTTGTTTCAACGACTGTGCGTGATGGGAGGGAAGGTGAAGTAGAGACTTTGCCAACGAAGTCTGTGGGTTTTTTGCTCGGGGGGGAGTGGTTTGAATAAGAGAGTCCGCGGAGGAGGGGGGCCAACGGTGAGGAAGTGGACGGGACGTGGGTTTTGGGTATGGGGAGGGAACAGGGCAGGCTGGAAAGAGACGAGAGAAAATGAGTGACAAGACCCGACAGACGATGCAGGCGCCAACAAGGAAGGCGACGTCTGGAGCAAGAGCCAAGAGCGGCCGAGGAGACGCAGAATAGAAGGCGCCCACAACCACGACGAGGAAGGCACAACCTTAGCTATGGTCCGTGGAAGGAAAGTGGAGGTGCTCGGCCCTACCCTCCTGGTCCCCGTCGCTCGCTCTTGCCCTCAGTGAACTCACCACCTGGTCACCTCACAACCTCACTCACACTCACACAGTTTGCCTTGCGCCGGCCAGTCAGATTCTTTCCTCGTCCCTGGCGCCATCCACCTTGTGCATCTTTCTCTCACTCTTTCCGTCTCTGCTTCCAGTTCCCCGGGGTGGGCAAGAAGAGGCGGTAGGTACGACCCAGTGACACAGAAGGAGGTTTGCGGTCGCTGGTTGGACCAGGGCTGCGGCTGCACAAGGCCAATGGCGCACGAGAGAGCGCACTCGGCCGGCAGGGCACGTCGAAGTAACTGCAAGGTACCCGCGTCTGCTTCGGGGAGGCTGCAGTTGCAACAGACGAATCAAACCTCAAAGCGCATCTCAACAAAAGTATTGACTACCTTGACAGCTGCTGGGAACGCCCACAAAACCAATGTATTGACGACTCGCCCGAGTCGCAGGGGTCTGATCATGACGGGAAATTAAGGCGCAAAATCACAGCGTTGCGTTCGCTCAACTTGGACCACGTACCCTTGCGCAACTCTGCCTTACTGGCTGCACTATGACATTGCACCATTGGATTATGAAGAGGCATTGTGCGCGCTGCAAACAGCCTCGTCCATTGCAGGATCGGCAGGGCGTCGCGACTGGTCCTCGCTCGCCCGTCCTGAGGCAGTGACAGCGCTTTTCTTAGAAGCCTTCTTTTTTTCTGCGCGCTTCCTCTCAGGCTGGGCATCACGTCAAACCGCCGCCGCCGACGATGCTGACGGGCACATCCAATAATAGTGCCTTCTTTTCTTCTTCCAGAATGGAATATGGTCTGAGCAGAACAGTCGGGCAATCGCCGACTGATTTGCAACCCGACCAATGTTGGTGGGCTTGACTCTCCACTCTGCATGTCGGCCGAGAATCAAAACGGTCCAGTTCTCCATTGTCTGGACTCCAGTCTCGGGCGAAAAGAAAGCCATTGTAGTGGGTGGACTAAGGTCACTAACGGTGGCAATCTTATTGGCAGTCTTCAGACGCTCAAAAAGTGAAATGGCATAATCTGCTGGCTGGTCACTCGACACCGCATTCGACGCCGTGTCCGTCCAGATTGGAGATAAATCGTCGTGCCGCGCAGCAACCGCGAATGCCTCCATTCCCAATGCAGAGGGATGTGAGTGGGCTGTTCATAAAAAGAGCGAATTGCACAATTTCCCCGAGTCGAAATGGCTCAGTGTCCCGCACCGACGCCGTTGGTGATTGGCTTTTCCTGAGATGAGACTCGACGCTTGCCAGGCTGTTCCTGCATTGGTTTTCTCTTTGGACGGCTATGGTTGTAAGGTACCTGACGCTAAGCCCTGGATGGCCGGCTCGGTCTTGCCTCAGAGTGCTCTTTCTCTCTCTCTCTCACTTTGCAGTGCGCTCCTGCTAAAAAGATTTCTCATCGCGCAAAACCCACCCTGGAAAGCGCTCTGCGACCTCCTCCTTCCCAAGCAGTAGTTCGACGGTCTGTGCTGCCCCTAACGAGGAAGGAACCCAGCACGAGGTCTTTGGCAGGTGCGCCTACCCGATACTCCTGGCCATCAAACAATCAAAATCGACCGGGAAATGTCATCATCTTCGTTCCTATTCCCCGTGTCAGATCACGCGGAGAAGCATTTCCCTAGTGCCGATTATCCTTTGCTCTCAATAGCCCCCCAGTCGCCAGCGCAATTTGGCTTCTAGCGCCCGTCTCTCACGCATCCTCCTGCAGCGCACCACGCGACCAACAACGCAGCAGCAGCAACACCGAAGCCTGCAGCTCTCTGGATACCTAGCTTTCGACGATCGACGGCCTGGGCAGACAGCCAACTCGCCGGGAACCATCCCATATGTCTCGGTCCCATCTCATTCTCGTGTTCATCCTCGCCCGTCCGAACTCCCGTCATCTCACGGCGGTCGCTGCCATCCCATTTGGGGGCTGCAAATGCAAATTCTCGGATGAAACCCGACAAACAGCTCCACCGTCGTCAGCCTGGTGTGGAGAGCCTGAACCGAAGGAGATCAGGCCGGAGATCATCACTGCACCCAGCAGTGAACCCCTTGAAGCCTTCTCACAGTGGGACGTCCCATGTTCAACCTGAAAGGCTTGACACTTCCTCAGGGCAACACTTGGCCCCAGCTCGCATCTGCTCCCACTTCGCGCGCCCGGAGCGAGTCGTTCGCTACGGCCTGGAGCCATCGCGGCCCCTATTCCGACAGGCTCTTCGACAGGCCTCTGTCGCAACAAGGGCCGTCGCGGCTCCCCTTCTGTGCCACCAAGACCTCACCAGTGTCTGCGGAATCGGCGCATTCACACGCTGAAGGCCCCCCTTCGCCCACTCCGTCCACGTCGCAGCGATAGCTCGCTGCCACGTTGTGAAACCCAGCGTCACACGCTCACGGGTCCAGTCTCGCGTCTGCGTCCCGTCGTGTCTGCATCTTCGCTGGCAGCCGCAACAAATCGTTGGGCCCGAGATGTCCTAAGCTGAACCGCCTAGGCCGTCGAAGAGGTCGGTATGGGCCTCCGACCAGCGCAGTGTCCTTGAAGCTTGGCTTGACTCTTACACCACGGCCAGCGATTCAGCTCGCCGCACTGCCTCCGCCATTCGGCTAAATCGGGGGCGCCAGGCGAGGAAAGTTTCAGTCAGAAAGGGCTTATCCGTACCAAAGCTGCTTCTTCCTTTGCCCAGTGCTTGTGCGAGCAAACTCTTCAGCCTGAAGGAAAGAAAACCCTCCGTGCGGACGTTCTAGGAGCTTGAGGGGGGCGAAAGAAGAAAATTCTTGACCGTCGCACGCCACCGAGCACAAGAATGAGACGTTACGATAGACTCAGACAGCTACCACAGCGGCTTCCAACGTCTTTACGGTGGGTCCAAGATCAACGGCGCATCCCAGCGCGGTCGCAACTCGGATGCTCTGTAGTGCCACCTTGCTTTGCAGTGCAGCTCTGCTCTGCTGTGCGCTGTGCTGCCAGCAAAGTCATGGGCTTTCCCATGCACCGCAGCTCAGTCATCTCAGCAGTTCAGCTTGGGCATCGGTCGTTGCTGTTGTTTCCACGCTACTTCTCCGTTGCTTGTGTACGACAACAATCACTAACCACAGGCTGCATGCAGACGCTCAGCTTCTTCGTATTCAACCTGCTCGTGCTGCCTTTTTGCTTTTCCTCGTAACATGTCTCGACCTCATTATCCAACGGCCAGCTGCCGCGGCCTGCAGGATGCATGCAGGCGCAACGAGCTACCTTCTCGGCTTTTGAATTCGGCAGCGCACCATCGCATTGTTTCTCGCGAATGCACAAAGGGTTCTACATCTCGGCTCGGGTTACAGTCGAGCTCCTATAATCTGCGTTATTCGTTGAGAAAACCCCGACGCATCCTCGCTGGCTCGTGGCTTCAGGGAAAACTTCCCTCTAATTCGTGCCGCTTCAACCTCGTCTCATGGCTCCCCACATGCCCATAATGACGTTGCTTTCCGAGTGGGTGCATCCATGTGGTAAGAGATGAATTCTCTCTACTATGGTAGGGTCCAAAGTGCACTGCAATTTCTCTGCCCACAGAGCTCGGGGGTTCTTCCCAGCTGTCTACTTGATGCGAAGCGATGTCCGGAGCCCCGCCCCCGTATCCCGACCCCTGGGCCGATTGTTCAAGGGACCAGCACCCGGACTCCCCTTTCGTCACCGTCGTCATCACCTCCGTCATCTAGACAGCCGGTGGACCGGGCTGTGAAGATAACCTCAATGCACAAAAGGGGCTTAAAGGGGGACGACAATGCTCGCTTTTTCTATGAATGCAGCTGTGCAATAGACAAAATCGTCTGAAATATCCGCAACAAAACCTGTCGCCTCCCGCCAACATCCTCATGTCGCTTGTTTGCCACAGGCCGCTGCCAGGCCGCTGCCAGGCCCCTTGGCGACGTCCGATTTTGACATCTGACGAAACAAACCCCGTTCATCTATCGCGTACCTGTTTTGAAACAATGGTCAAGGTTCATCTGAGCGTACGCAATTCCCAAACTCTGGTACCGGTGCAAGCAATTCAGCTCGCGCCAGTCTCGCAAAGCCCCTGGATACCACGCGGCGATGGAATTTGTGCCGTCATGGCTCGGACGATGCGCTGCATGGGCCGAACGATGTCGGGACCGAAAAATTCCGGATATTCCTCGATGGAAACCACATGAAGGAGGCTTCGACCGCTGTATGATCGCAGCCTTTTCCTATTATGGAAGGGCCATGCTAGGTAATGCTATCTGCGGTGTGAAAATGCGTGCGGTCTGCACCGTCTCACAGTGGACGAATGCCTAGGTGTTTTCCTCAACTCGTATGCAGCCCAAATCGCCCTGCCCTTGGATGATATTGCCGTCAATGTCTTCCAACCTCATGTTGCATTCTTTTCATGCTCAATCCCATCTTTTTGGCGGAACCCCAAGGCGGTTGGGAGTCTAGCAATTCATCAGCGATGAAGATGTTTCGGGTCCACACTGAGGAGACTTGAGCTCGCTTGTCGGGCGTGGAGCTCAACCCACTTCCTCAGCTTCGGCTGCAACCGGTCTATTAGTCTAGTTGGTTAGGACGTCGGATTCTGATTAACATCAGTTCCTTCCGTAGGCCCAGGTTCGAATCCTGGATGGACCTCATTTTTTGACGTTCACGATATCGTGTCGCCATCCCAGTTCTCTCTCTCCTCTCTCCTTTTTTTTTTCTTCTTTTTTTTTTTTTTGCTTTTGCTTCCATTCTGGATATCGATCCTGCACCTTGGATGGAAGACCCAACGTGCGGCCTGCGATCATGCATATCTGCTAATAATGTCTCGCGTGTTTCCTGCGAGAAGACTCAAAGACGTTGGGTTAAAGCCACGGTGTGGTGGTACTACCTCCCATCTATATGTGATATCTGACGGTGACCCTGAAATATTCCGGGGTTGCTCCTACGTTGATATTGCTGCTTCATCGCGCCACTAGTCCTTAACGTTGGTCCGGCTACCCAACTTCCCTTCAGCCGCCGAACAGCTCGGCCCGACTCGATGCGATTCAATTTCCATCTAGGCGAGTCTCTCAGTCAGCCGATTCTGGCGAACGACGTCAGTCAATTTGTATTGAGCGAACAGCTTTTTTGCATCCGTTCTGCCGAGAGGCACAGCTCATATTGATACGCCTATCGGCGCATGTCTTGAGCAATGCACCCAATCACCAGCAGCACCAACTCGTTCGGACATAATCGGCACTTAAATGGTTGAACCGTTCGAATAAGTAATTCTCGTACGATGCCGGCACACACACAAGCGGCCAACCACTCGACACCGGAGCCTTGGGGGGGCGGTCAGCGATTCATGGATTCGTGAATGGCACGGCGCGGTGGGGGTCAACACCAAGATCGAGGAGAAGGGAGGATGCTGCCTCCTTCGCAAGGAATGGTCGTGATTTTCCCAACTACCAGGAACTCGAATCCCCTAGGCCACTCCATGATGATGCTTTCGAGCGTAAGCAGCACGGGAGGCTGGAATGATAGGTTGAAGACGACACGCACGTCGAGGTTCCCCCGCGGAGATCTGAGTCGTAACGTGCCGCGTGCCGAGGGCGCACCGCAACATCCCCGACATTACCCCAACTTCTGACCCCCACGAAAGTCCCACACGCGTCTCGCAGGATCCTGACTGCCCATGAGCCGTGGCATTTCCTAGATGGCGTTGAGGGTTGGAAGGAGATCGTGGGGGAACGGGACACTCGATAGTTGGGGGTCAAGAGGAGGACCCTCTCGATGGCTTGGGGCTACCCCATGGGGCTCTTCCCCGCGTTGGTGCTAGGCCCATGTTCTCCACGCTGGGAACGGCTGTTTGGGCGAGCCTGTCCGGAAGTGAGGAGAAGGGGGAAGCGTTGCAGGAGGTAGGATTTCTCCAAGGTGGAAGAAGGGCAGGGGGGATTGGGATTTGATTAAGATCGGTCGAGGTCCCGTTCTTTTCCTTTGCCGCATGAGTTATGACTGAGAGGTCTTGTCTTTCGAACTTCACGTCTTCTTTTCTCACCTTTCCAAGACACAAGGTCGAGAGGGCTCTACGTTCAAGACTCAAACGCTAACACAGACGGCATCATGGACATGGAGAAGAAAGAGAGATCCTCGGACCAGATTGAGGATGTCAACGCGGAGAAGCTCAGCGTCCACGATGGGACGCTCATCATGCCCGCCAGTCTGGCAGCTTTGAGCCAGGAGGATTATGAAAAGATTGGGAAGAAGGCCACGTTGAAGATGGATATGGTCATTATGCCCATCATGGTAAGTCATTCATTCCTTTAACACACTCCACCTGCGGGGGCTAACATGGCATAGGTCATCATGTATGTCCGTAAGTAATCACTACCATTCGCCTAACGATTCGGAGTCGAACCTGACACATGTCAAGTCAACTACCTCGACCGTCAAAACATTGCCAGCGCCAAGCTCGCCAACATTACCACGGAACTCAACCTCAGCCAGGTCGAGTATCAAACCACAGTCAGCATTCTCTTCGTCGGCTACAGTACATCCCCCTTATCAGCTATTCCTCTGTGCTTTCGACTGACGGCGGTCGCAGTTCTGATGCAGATCCCTTCCAACATGATTGTCAGCAAGATCAAGTGGCCCGGGGCGTACATCTGCGCTGCCATGGCAGCGTGGGGCGCGATTTCGTCGCTCATGGCCGTTGTTCACAACTACGAAGGTCTCCTGATGGCTCGATTCTTTCTCGGATTCATCGAGGCAGTCTTCTTTCCGGGTGCCCTTTACTATCTTTCCCTTTTCTATAACCGTAAGCAGTTCGCCTTGCGGACGGCGATTCTCTACTCTGGGTCGCAGTTGGGCAACGCTTTCGGTGGGCTGTTTGCCATTGCTATCTTGAATTTGGATGGAACCAGTGGCCTGTCTGGGTGGCGATGGGTGAGTCTCTTCTATTGATGATGTCGGTCTTGGGAGACTTAGGCTAATACTATGTCAGCTCTTCCTGGTCGAGGGTGTCATCACCGTTGGACTGGCCATCCCCTTCGCCATGATTCTCCCCAACTCCAACAAGAAGATCCCGACGCTCACCCAACTCGAGTGCGAATGGGTCCAATACAACTTCGCAGCCGATCAAGGCCAAGAGGACAACGCAAGCGAGGTGACCGCCTTCAAGGGCTTCATGATGGCCGTCGCGGACCCCAAGACCTGGATGCTAATGGGAATCCTCTACTCGGTATGTACCTCCTTTGACATCCTTCCCCAAACCGTCTCCCGGTTGGCATGTTAACTAACCACAACCACCAACCACAGACCTACATCGTCGGCGCCGTCGCAAACTTCTTCCCCTCTGTCGTCGGCGGCCTCGGCTTCTCCCGCACAATGACCTACGCCCTCACCGCGCCCCCCTTCATCCTCTGCGTGTTTACCATGCTCCTCAACGGCTTCCACTCCGACCGCAAGCAGGAGCGCTACCTCCACATCGTTATCCCGCTCTGCATCACCCTCGTCGCCAACGTCATCGCCGTCTCCACCATCAACATCGCCGCGCGCTACGTCGCCATGATGCTGCTCCCGGGCTCCTTCTACGCCGCCGCCGTCGTCATCCTGTCCTGGATTACGGGAAGTCTGGCGCAGCCGAGCGTCAAGAGGGCCAGTGCCATCGCGCTGATTAATGCTATGTGTAACACGCCTAATATCTGGGGTAGTTATTTGTACTACGGCGCGCCGCGGTACATCACCGCGTTTATTGTGAATATCGCGGCGACGGGGCTGGCGATTGGGTTTGCTACTGTTACGCGGATCTGGCTGAGGAGGCTGAATGCGAAGTTGGATCGGGGAGAGGACTGTGGTAAGCATGGGCCGACTGCGGCGCAGGTTTCTACTGGGTTTAGATATCTTATCTAGGTTGAGCTGGAGATTAGCTTATGGGCCAGGGGGTGGCATCGGGACATCTACGAGATTTTAATGGACGGAAGTCGTAGATTGAATACAATGTGTTATATTCAAAAGTCCTCCCTATATGAGGATTCAAAGGATTGGGTTGTGTTTTGTTCACAGAATAACAAACCCTAGCACTAGTGTCAACAAGCAGGCCGCGAGGGATCATTACAAAATTAGGATCTTGCAACGAAGCCTAACATTTCCAGTTGATAAAGCAAGAGGCTTCTTTATTATGTCTACTTACTCCTAAACACTATCTTAATCTAAAGCTTCACCCTCCCGGTAACCTCCTTCTCCGCCCTTTCGCTATTGACCAGCTCAGGGACGATATCCTCGATGCTGGCTGCACCCGCCAATGCCATATTCGTCTCCAGCTCATGCCTCAAAATCTGTATCAACCTCCTCACACCAGCCTCTCCATACCCGGCCGTCATCGAGTACAAAAACGGCCGGCCAATGCCAACCGCACTCGCGCCCAACGCCAACACCTTGAGAATATCCGTCCCTCGCCTGATACCACCATCCACAAACACCTGGAATTTTGCTTTCGTCTCCGGGGCGAGCAGATGCGGCGCGTAGCGCCTAATCTCCAGAAGCGTCAGCATCGGCGCCTGGGCGGTGTCCTGGCTTCGCCCGCCGTGGTTCGAGAGCACGATCCCATCGACACCGTGCTGATGCGCAATGAGAGCGTCCTCAACCGACTGGATGCCCTTGATCACAATCGGTAGCGACGTCGTCTCCCGGATCCATTCGAGATCAGCCCATGTCAGCCCCGCGTTCAGCAACCCAGACGCCGTCGTCTTTGCGACGCCGCTGGGTTCGGACAATGGCTCGTCACCCGCCGTCAGCCTCTCATCCCGCTCTCTCTTGCCAATGACGGGCGAATCCACCGTCACGAAGATGGCCTTCGCTCCGAGGCCCTCCGCCTTTCGTATGGTGGCCTGGGCTTTTTCTCTGTTGCGGTCGACGTACAGCTGGAAGAACAGCGGCTGCGCGTTGCCCCCCGCTCGCGCACCGAAGATCGCGTCTATCGACACACTAGGTTTCGTCGGCATGCAGTATATGATCCCCTCCTTCGCCGCCGCCTTCACCAGGAGCGTCTCAGCCTCGGGGTGCGCGTACTTGGCCTGGCCCGTTGGCGAGATGTAAAACGGTAAGGACGAAGGGAGACCGAGGATCGATGTGGCCGTGTTGATGGAATCCACATTACGAAGCACCCGCGGCCGCAGCGCCAACCTGCGGAAGATGCGTCTCGAGTCCCGGAGACTCTGCTCGTCTTCCGCGCCGGAGCAGTAATACGCCCATCCGATCTCAGACAGGTACTTTTCGGCCACCTTCTCAAAGTCGTCTGCGTTGATGATGGCACCCAAGTGCGGAAACTTCGGCTTCGGCTTTTCTGGCTCCGGGGCTGGTGATTCTTTAGGGAGGGTTAGAGGGTCTACGGGTCCCAGACAGCGATCCGGTGACAGCGTTTCTGCGATGAGGTCCGGGTTGTGGATGGAATCATAGTCTTCTGTAGCGTCGCGGCCGGCGCAGTTGAATATCAGCTTGGCGCCGCCGGGATGCTCATCGAGGAACTCTGCGATGTCTTAGTAAGAGAGCTTGATGGCGAGAGCGGGAGAATTACCTGTGACGTCCCATACCTGGCCATGGATGACGACCCAGCACGAGTCCTTGGTGTTGTTCTTTGCTACTTCCGTGCCGCTCACCACCATCGTGACTATCTTGGTGAACTGACCTGCGGGACGGAAAATGTGGGATAGGTCCAATGGGCGTGGACAAGATGAGGCTGAGTGCTGGCTCGAGGAGATTGGCGCTTTGAGCAGCTCAAGAATGAGGTCGTTCGACCGTCTCACCTAGTCTTTCCTCCCCACGCAATGCTCATGGGGCTGCTTGGAACAGTCGAGCTCCACCGAACTCGCGACAACAGGTCAGGGACAGACTCCGTGGGGGTCATGAACCATGGCCTTTCTCCGCGTGCTGCTAGGCTCAGGCCGGCGCCGTGAGTTCAAATAGCGGACTGAAGTCCGTCCTAGCGTGCCGGGTTTTCTGGGACGCTTTCCCTTCTTCGTCTCTGCTGCTGAGCTCTCGCGACCAGGAAAGCAGCGAGCGAAACCCCCACTCAGGCGTGTCCGGGGTCGACGGGGCTGCATTGCAGGCTTCTCCTCACGAAGGGCGACGAGACCCTCCAAACATCTCCACGAAAAGTGGTGCGGCTCCGCTGTCGGCTGCTGTTCGATTCGTTGTTGCGGTGATGTTGTTGGGCTTTCGTGCGGAGAAGCGCCCGGAGGCGTGTCTGGGGAGCTCGGGAGTTGTCCGGGGCCCCGGGATGGGCCCATGTCTGCGGCTGACTCGCTCATGCGGGGTGAGGAGGAGGGCGTCGGGAATAAATCCGGGGTTGAAAGCGTTTGGATGGCTCTGGCGTTTGTCGAGGGGAGATCTCCCATGGACTCTCTACTTTCAAGCCTCGAACTGCTGAGTCGAGAATCGGCGCCAGGGGAGGAGACATCATCTGTCAAGGTTGCAATAGGAGCGTGATGACAAATCCTTTGACTCGAGGGCATCAGTTGTTGCGCCATCATTTGCGAAACTATCCCATCCAACAATAAATCAATATTCATCAGACTGCTGGGTCGCCTGGAACCGACATGGTCCACAAACCTGTTTTCGTCGTAATTTTAACACCAGCAGCAATGTGTCTGTCATCATCCTTGTGGAGACTCGATGGGGCTTCAGCGAGGGTGACTGACACCCGAATGTGACCCCCACTCATGGGGGTTCACAGCTTGCCGTGGCTGAGTGGTAAAGACGATGATGGCCATAAGAAGCTGCGAACTCGCTATTTGTGAACAGATGTGGCAGTCAATCCCCATACGGGCACAGAATCACATTGATTGTCATTGCGATGGCAATATATTGAGCTGTCTTCGTTTCTTATTCAGGAGGTCAATGTTGGGAAGTAAACTTGAGAATGAAACGTATCAAAGAAAAAACATTCTTTCTTCCGACGACTGGTGAATCTTCGCTAGCAAGCTGTTGACTTTGTTGTTCTTCTCCGTATCCATGTTCCAATCTTTCGGCGGAGGCTCAAAGGTCATTTCAACCCCCGGTCGGAAGACCATGCAATGAGAGCTTCCTCTGAAGTGAAACATGCCAATCTGCTGCCCTTTGTGGATGGTATCGCCAGGCTTGACGGTGAATTCGCAAGAAGATACTTCAGCCATTCCAATAAAAACGATAGCCATGAGCCCGATCTTGGAATTCTCCGCCTCGATGTAGATGATGCCCCTGGTAGCGACAGCACTAATGTATGGCTGCGAATAGTTCGGAGCGGCTGGATCGGGGCCATTAGGGTTACCCGCAAGCCCTTCAAAGTAGTTCTCTGCATAGTAGGTGCCTGGAACTTGCTCGATGTTTACCACCTTGCCGCTAATAGGGGCATGCCATCGGTGGTAACTCCTAGCACTTAAGAATGCTTGGTATACTGTCCCACCAACAAACTGTGAGGCTTTCGAGTTGTTGTTCAACGTATTAACAAGAGAATAAGGTTGCCCTTTGAGCCAGAAGTTGTCGAATAGTTGGACGTTGTAGGCAACTTGAAGTGGAGCCGACTCACAAGCATTGGTGATGAACAATGATGGGTCGGGGTCGCCGTCGGCAAAAGGCTGGAAATATGGACGAAACACGGGGCGTTGTCCCTCCTTGAACTCCCGCGTGAAAAGATCATCCCATGAGTCGAACCCGTAGTAAGGTTGACTGGGATCGCATTCGAAGATGGACGAGAAATCTTTACCAAGCGCTGCGTTGGCTAGAAGACCCAGGGCATCGGGTGACAGCCAATCTTTCAAGCCGCTCTGTGACTTATTCGATTTCAACCAACTGCCCCAGGTATTGAGCACGCATTTGAACGAAGCATTGGCTGCTGAATGAAGCCAAAATTCGACTCCGGATAGCGTTCCCATGGGCCAGTCAAGTACAGCGTTGATTGGGAACCCAAGAAGACCCATGGCGGTCTCGTCCTTGTCGTAAAAGGGAGGACCAGTGGTGATGATGCTGTTCACTACGTGAAGAAACTGGTTGAAATTGGTGATTGCAGGCCGCTCAGTTGGGTCGAAGTGGTTTGAGGATTCTGTGAACATTTTATTGGCACGCTCTTTGAGGGATGGTGTGTCGTTGACGACTTGCTGGAAAGCTACCCGAGTCGGATCTAGAGGGACATGGTCGGCCCGCTTTACCTCATCAGCCTTGCTAGCCACTGATTGCAGGACCCTTTTGCGATGACCAGGAGGCCAGAAACCGAGCGGACGGTGGTGATGATGGATGGCCTTTTCCTTTGAGTGGATTGCCATTTTTGGACTCTGGATGGATGGTGTTAGGAGAACACCAAAAAACTAGGATTTTGAATGTTGCGATACTTATGGAGAGAATATGATGCTCAGAAGAGTCACAGACCATCTGTTCTGGAACCAAGAAGTCTTTAAATAGTTACAAAATGGTTTCGTAGCGTTTGCGGGCGAGCGGACTAGACGTGATGCTCATTGCGGCTGGATGGCCGAACGGCCGCTCTGCTGACTGCCACCGTTTGCAACGATCTTCATCAGTTGATTTTTGATGCTACGTACAGAAAAAGCAGAAATTGATGCCAAATGTTGTCAAGCTGTCCAATTATCTCATAATGCAAATAAACGCAAGATATGTTAGGGCTGAAAACAGGCGTGGCCGACGACGACGGAGTCTAATCTTGTGTTGCACACGAAAGGATAATTTTCAGCTGTAATAATATCCAGTAAACTTCGACCTCGGTGACTAACATTCGCATTGAATGAAAAGAATCGCATGATATGGCTGCAGTGGGCGTTTATGCCGGCCCTATGTCTCATCTCATTACCTAAAACGCAACGAGACAGACCGACGGAAGAGGATTCAACGATGGCTACACTAGCAAAGTGGTTGTCTGCCTGAAAACCCAGACATGCTTCTTTTAGTTCTCGCTGAAAGTCAGCCAGTCAGAGTATAAGTCTCAAACTATGATACTTAAATGACTGCTTTCGTCTGCGAAAATCTGGCGAGAAGGTATGTATAGAGACGCTAAAAAGGAGTATATCTCGGGCGTTGAGAAGATCACGCGAAAGCCTGATCCAGCCTCACGAATTCCAAGACAGAGGCTTCCACCATGAGACAACGTCTGGGACTGAAAAGCTCGTCAACTTGGGTAAGCATATTGACTGGCTGCGAAAAGGTTTCGACGGTGTCCCGTAATAGCCTCGAAGATGATACAAAATAATATGATGCGCCAAAAATGCCTTAATGACCAACGTATGTCGACAATGCGCTGATATTTCAAACTCAGCCCCGTCCAACTTGAATTGTCTTCGTTGCTGCTATCCCTGCTTTCCTGAGTGTGCATCTTGTTACTATTGTGTGTTTCTTCCAACTTGACAATCCGACTGACTCGCTCCCCTCGAACATAGGACTTCCATTTCGAGGTTTTTCATACTTCAAGTATATGTGGAAAGCAAACCGATGGCTTCTCAATGATCGGTGCTTGAATTACGGATTGAAAAATGGTGTCTTGCGTATTTGACTTTCTGGTCTGTGAAATCGGAGTCTTGAACTTTACAGGAGGCCTCTGCGGGCAACGCTTAAGTGGCCCATGAACTCGACTGGGTATCCTTCGATGCCGAATTTCTGCCATCTCAAATCTTTCGTCCCATACAGGATCCTAATAGCTGTTTCAGCCAGCAGGCCTTTTCTGGCCAAATCCCGCCCTCGGGGCTCTTCTCACATATTGTAGACTGATCCCCATCTTCGCCATCAGATGATTGGATCCACTCCTGAGGGATTTGTGTCATGAAGTCATACCAGTAGTCGCCAAAGTGACGGTAGCCCTCATTCGTTGGGTGGACGCCATCAACTCGAAGCAACCCTGTAGGAAAGCTCGTAAAATCAACGGCGAGAACATGTTTACCCGCAACCTGACGAGATGCTACGACGCCTGGTATATGGCCTTGATACGGGACGGTGTTCCGCTGCTGCCCCTCATCACGCGTGTTGATGATCATAGCCACGAGAACAACCGCACTTGGGCAGGCTTCGACGATTTGATCGATGAGTTTGCCTAAACGCTCTGCGGCATCTTTGGGATCGTTTCCTTCGAGAGCGACGTCCAAGTTTGGGTTCATGTCATTAGTCCCTGCATGGACGAGGACAATGTTGGGCTGCTGTTGCAGTGAGGGGTTGACATGATCTGAGATGAATTGAATCGTTCGCGCATTCCAAGCGGCCTGTCAACCTGATTAGGCGAATAGCCATTTGAGAGATTACGCAACACTCACGAAGTAGTTATCAGGGATCGTTCCGCGAACTGTCTCGGTTCCGATGAAAGACACGCGATCATCTTCATCAGGCATTAGTCTGTGCTCTGACTATGGGCGAATGAGACGTACTTGAAAGATTCTGTCGAAGCTTCATCCGGTATCCATTTCCGTCACCTCCATCCAGGTCACTGAGAAATCCTACAGTGATGGAATCACCAACACCAAGGATACGAAGGGCGGTTCCAGGCTTAATGGCCTGGCCGGGCTTGGTGCCTTTGAACTTGAGCGGACTTCGTGCCTCCATGACGAGTTGCTGTTGTCTGAATTGGGGCTTGGATCACTAAATGAAGCTAATACCGACTTGATAGTCTCGAGACCCGGTTGCAAGCTGTCCAGCTAGATCCTTCTGAGAGAAAAGTAGTCTTAGGGCTACTGGAGCTTTTTGTCGTCAAGCGTCTCGTGCCGTGCAGCCGTTGGCGATTGTTAAGCGACCTATTGATGAAATACAACGCTTCTTGTGGGAATTCGGGAAGGAAAAGAGGCTTATTCACCTCAGTTCGGCGTCTTGGTTTACGAGTCTAAAAAGGAGTGATGTTGAATGAAACGGCAGGAATGGAACATTTGCATCTGCTGATCGTCGTCTGAACCGCACGGTGCTGTAGCGTTCAGACCTGTTACGTGTCTGTCTGAGACATGATCCCCCACATTTGAAGCCCAATCACCGTTAGACGTCATGAATCGAGCACGGGCTTCATCTCGTGCAATGACTAGTCAAGCAGGGCGGTCCTCTGAGGTCGAGGGGAAGAATCGTGTGACTGGCTTTGCTATTTATTCTCGAACGCAGCTTATTTGATAGTACAATTCTACTGGAGATCTGGATTTCGCAGAGTATGTTTCAACAATAGACTACAACGTTGCTGTCTGCAGTTGAACCTTCATCCTGCCAGGCCTGTACAAAACATGGGATGAACAGCGCTTTTGAAGTCAATCTTTTGAAAGACGGAACCGGTGATTAAATTTCCAAAGTCTATTGATAGCGTTCAAGAAGCAGACGAGTGGCACATGCCGGCACCAGCAATGGATCCACGTTCTCCCCTTATCGGCGCATGCGGGGTGATCGGCTGGCTATCTAACAGAACCCCGCAGCTGTGCATCCCGAACCCACAGGCATCCCGGGGCTCAGTTTTCCTTTGCTTAACACTGCCAATTTGGGTTTAGTGACGTGGGAAGCGTGCAGCAGTGCTTCCGGCTGTGTTAGCAAAACATTCGAGAAAACACCGTAGGTTGTTATCTGAACGCCTTATCTGGGTCGCGATAACGAGATGTCCTCATGCGATTGAAACATAACTCAAAAGGAGAGCAGAGGATCGCTCTCATTAGATATCCCCTGCGCCAAGCATCTTCACGTCCCGCGAAACTATGTCCACCATGACTGGGGCAGTCGATGGCCAGAATGGCCACCTTCAGAAGCGATTTTCCAAGATTACGATGGTTGGAATGGCGTTTGCGATTCTGAAGTAGGTCTTGAGAACTACAATGCGGAATGAGTTGCCCGCTAACAAGCCAAGCACATGGATTTCTTTAGCTGGGTCAATAGGTCTCGTTATGCCATCCGGAGGATCAGTATCCTTCGTTTATGGATTCATTTTCTGCGTTCTTTGCAATATCGCTTTGAGTGCCAGCGTTGGAGAACTTGCGTCACTCTACCCAACAGCGGGAGGCCAGTATCATTACGCTTACGCGTTATCCACTCAAAAATGGAAAAAGTCAATGGTGTGCACCCGAGTCCACACTCGATACTGAGATCCGATCCAAGTGCTAATCAACCCTAGAGCTTCTTCGTCGGATGGGTCAATATCGCTGGATGGCTCACTCTGAACACGACTGCTGCTTACTTCGGAGGTACATCAACATCATGAATCTCCACACTGCAGAATTGACAGCTGACATATGGTAGCTCGATTCCTTGCTGCAGCAGCAGTGGTTGGCTCCGGTGGCACATACCAAATCACACAGTGGAGTACTTACTTAATGTTTGTGGCGGTATCGATCATTGGAGTGTTTCTTAACATCTTCGGTTACCCCATCCTAAATCGATGGAACGAAGGAGCTTGTAAGTCTCGTTCTGCTGCAGCAAGGCCTCTGGCTAACCGTTCAGTGTACTGGTCATTGCTCAGTGTTGTGGTTATCAGCATTGTGCTTCTAGCAACATCACCGAAAACGAGTGCCGAGTATGTTTTTACCAACTTCTCCAACACGACCGGCTGGAGTGATGGAACTGCCTGGATGCTGGGTCTGCTTCAATCCGCCCTTAGTCTCATTGGGTACGCCCTCTCTTACGGACACTTTCAATCACAACAAAGTGCTGATTTCACTTCTAGATTCGACGCAGTAGCCCACATGACAGAAGAAATGCCGAATCCATCCAAAGATGCACCTCAAGCAATGGTTGGCGCGGTGATTGTTGGAGGAACTACGTGAGTATCTTGAAAAAGGCCAATCTCGAGGTTTCTAACACCTGTTACAGTGGCATTGCCTTCATTCTTGTCATGCTTTTCTGCGCAGTTGATATTGACGTTCTTCTCGCATCGCCCACTCAAAGTCCTCTTACAGAGATGATATCACAAGCCACAGGCAACAAGGCAGCTGCGACAATTCTCAGCGTCGCTGTCGCCCTGTGTTTTGTCAACGGAGCTAATGGCTGCGTCACATCTGGAAGTCGTCTGGTTTGGTCCATGGCTCGAGATAACGGCACCCCGTTTTCAAGATAGTAAGCACTCCCGACTGTAGCTGACCAAACACGGTCGTCCTAACGTATAATAATTGTATCTAGCTTATCGCATATTCATCCGAGGCTAAACGTCCCCGTCCGAGCCATCCTTGTCCAGGCCGTCTTCAACCTTTTGTTCGGTCTACTCTACCTTGGTAAGCTACCAGTACTCAAATTTGTCAGTTGCATCAAAGCAAGCTGTACTGACAAAATTTCATCAAGGTCCGGAAGTGGCCTTCAATGCCTACATCGCAAGCTGCAC